CAAGTCCCGCGAACACCACGGCGCCGCCCTGCTGCCCAACGGGGGCGTCAGAGGCCTCCGTCCCCTGCCCAGGCTTCGGACTCTACGGGCGGCCTCCCTTCCGCCAACGCTCCAGGCCTTCCCCTGCCTCCCGAGCTCCCGAGCTTCCACCACATCTGGCCGCTCAGGACAGGGCGTCAGTGCCCAGGCCCTCTGGTCCTCCACCTTAGCGCTGAGGGATTGTTTTGGATCCCTCGCAGCCCGTCTTGCAAACAGACACCCACACACAGACACACAAAGACACAGACACACACAGCTTGAATGAGAGCAAGAGAGAGGGATGGAGACATAGAAACGGAGGGAGAGAGAGAGACAGTGATAGAGAGACAGTGAGTCAGGAGCGGGGGGCGGGGGGGAGAGAGAGAGAGAGAGAGAGAGAGCAGGCGACAGAAAGAGCACGAGGTGGAGGGGGAAGAAGAAGAGAGAGGGTGACGGACCTAGAGAGCCCTAGAGCCTCGGAGAGGGAGCGTTCTGCTCCGGTAGACAGGGCCCCTTTAAGCAGGCCGGGGTAGGGTGGAGGGGGCTTGGGCTGGGCCAGAACAGGGTGGAAGGGCTAACGGAGTGACCCAAAGGGGCCCTGAGACGTATTTTTTGTTGGATTGGTTGCTTTGATGGTCCGTTTCATAGGGCTTTTCCTTTGTTGGTTCCTCCCTGTCCCCTCGGGGCGGTGGGCCCCGAGATTTGTAGAGTGCACCCGTCCCTCTGGCGAGAGCTGTGGCGCCAAGCATGCCCACGGGGCCGAGGCCTGGGTCTGTCTCCTGTCCTTGGGACTGGAGTTTATAGAAGTTGGTGGCAAAGGGATTCCGAGTGCATAGGGACGGTTTTCCTGGTGGCTGGCGAAGGCAATGTCCTTCCCCTGGGGAAAGCAGCCCATGCGTTCTGGAGCGGAGGTCTTGTCTGGTGTCTTGTGGGGCCCGCTTCCCCGCCCCTTCCCCCGGCTTGGACGGTGACAGCGGCGCCAGATGAGTGAATTGAATTCCCTGGGCGTCCCGGGAGAGGGAAGACACCCGGGACGGCAGGGAACCCCGCCCCTGCGCCTTCGAGGTTGGCTCCGGTCCGCCCTGCCCCGCGCAGCGAACTGGGCTACTGATGGGGTGGCTGCCAGGCAGAAGGGGTGCGGCGGTGCTGCAGTGGCGGATGCCCCATGAGGAGGTCCCGGGGTACCGCGGTGGCGCAGGCGGGTGGAAAAGGAGGAGCAGAGTCAGGGGGCGGTTGGGAAGCAACCGGATAAAAAGGGGAAAGAGGGAGGGAGCGGGAAGCCAAAAAAGCCTACAGCACCCGGTATTTCCAGGCGGTCTCCCAATTAAGTACTAATCAGGCCTGACCCTACTTAGCTTCCAGAGATAAGACGAGATCGGGTGCGTTCAGGGTGGTATGGCCATAGACGCCTGGCAGCCCCAAGAGCTCCGCTCAGTCTTGCGCGCCCGACTCTAGACATCCTGGCAACCCCGGATCCACAGGGCTCGGATCAAGTATCCCTGAGCTGCTCGCCAGCGGCCGGGCTAGTCTGCTGTCTCCCTCTACCGGCTGCTCTCCCCTTCTACGCCGGAGCAAGGTCTGCCGCAGCGCTGCGCCTTCAGCTGGTCTCCAAGAGCCTCCGCAGTCGCTGGCGGCCAGGCCAAGCGCTGGACAGCCACAGCGCCGCCCTGCTGCCGGGCGGGGGCGCCAGAGGCCTCTGTCTCCTGCACAGGCTTCGGGCTCTGGAGGTGGCCTCCCTTCAGCCAAAGCTCCAGGCCTTCCCCCAGCTCCCGAGCTCCCGAGCTTCCACCACATCCGGCCGGCTCAGGACGGGGTGTGCTCCGAGGCGTCAGGGCCCAGGGCCCAGGGCCCACGGTCCTGGTATCCCCTCCGGTCCTCTGCCTTAGCACTGAGGGATTGTTTTGGATCCCTCGCCGCCCCTCCTGCAAGGCCCCCTCTTGCCCTACCCACCCAGAGCCTCCAGGTCTGCCCAAGGGCAATCAGCCAACCCAGTCCTACGGGCGCTCTTTCTCACAACGCCTTCACCCCCGTCCCCTGTCCCGACGGAGACCCAGCCTGTGGGCAACAAGGGGGCCAGATGGGTTCTGCTTTGCCCCGCGCTGGCACCAAAGCCGGCAGCCTGATCCTGGGAGAGAGCGGCTGAGGGACACCCAGACACAACTCACGACCACCATGAGCAAAACCACACATTCACACAGGGGAGCACGCGCGCGGCCACACACACACAGCTTGAAGGAGAGCAAGAGCGAGAGGGATGGAGAGATAGAAACGGAAGGAGAGAGAGACAGCGATAGAGAGACATGGGGGAGGGGGGAGAGAGAGAG